GACAAGGAGGGCGGGGAAGTCAAAAACCAACACAACAAAGTGAAAAGAGAAATGAGAAATGGAGTTTTGTAAGTTTCGGGGTTAAAATAGCAGAAGTTTCCAAAATTACTCACAGGCGTCCAGAGGACAGAAATCATAATTGGAACAAAAACGGAAGCCGGGTTAAAGGAAAGCAAAAGGCAGCGGGCAGCCAGCATAAGGACGGGGCTGGCCAGAACTGAAACGTGATCCACAACCAAAGAGGAAGCAGCTGCAGGCAGGGAGGGGCGGCAGGCGGGCAGGGGGCTGGGGTCAGAGTGGGGGACCGGAGTGGCAGGAGGCAGTGTCCACCCTCACCCAGGCCGCCCTTGGCTTGGGAAGAAGCCCAATGGTAGGCAGGGTCAGAGGTCACGGTGGGGAGTGAGGAACCTGCCCAGAGTAGCTGTGGGGTGTAGGGGCCACCCTCCTTTCCTGGTCCCCCATGGCTGGGTCTGGGGGCAACTCCTGCCACACCCACCTGCCGGTGTGTCATGTGCTCGGGGCCCTCACTAGGTGAACGGGACCAGCGCTGGTCCCTGGCCCGGGCCCGGTGGTCAGGCCGTTCCTGGGTATATCGTTCCTTGTCCGGGGGTTGGGGGTGGTGGTGGTGGTGGTGGTGATGGTGCTGCCGGTGCTTCCGGTCCTTGGGCCTGCCACGCTCCTGGTCCCTCTCCTTTGATGGCAGGTCTCCAGACTGGGTGGTCATACTCAGATCTGTCCCCAAGCCTGGACCGGGGGGATAGACATACAGAAGGCCATGAGGTGGGGCAGGACATGCACATAGGAGGCCACAAGGGGGTCTGTGGGTCCTAGAGAGTGGTGCCTTCCTCTGGCCTGGTGGGCACTGGGGGTCCCATCTCCAGGATCCCTTGGCCCAGCTGGGTCCCACCCAGTACTTCTTTTCTCTCAGTGTCTACCCACCTCTGCTTTCTCTTCCCTTTTCCCCTCCCCTGTCCCCTGGTATAGCCTCTGGTTCCTGCACCCTTGGGGATGGCCCACCTGTGTCCACATCCGTGTAGCGGCCCAAGGAGCGCTCCGAGGCTCGGTGGCCACGGTCTCGGCGCCGCTGGTGGTGCCGCTGGTTTTCTTCAGGAGGCACCCTCTCTAGAGAGTAGTCATCCAGGCGCCGAGCCTTGGGGCCCAGCACGGAGGCTGAGCGCTTCATGGGGCTGGTATCTGAGATGGTCTGGGGAGGACAGGTCAGCAGGCTGGAGTCAGCGGCTGGCACCAAGTGGTCCTGATCTGTCCTGCCCTATCAGCCATCAGTGATGGGGTGTGACCATTCAGGGTGGAGGTCTGGGGGTGCCTCTGTCCCCTCCCAGGCCCATCTTGGTTTCTGGTCAAGAGGCTCTATCTGATCCATCCACTGCTGCTTTTCAGGACCACCCCCAGGGTTACCTCTAGGCCCTGGGTATCTAGCTATGGACATGCAGCCTGGCTGAAGAGCAGAGCTGTGCTCACCTAGAGTACAAACCTGGGAACTGGGGCACTGGGTGGCATGCCCTGCCCTCACCCCTGCCTGCTCTCTTGGAGGGTGCAAAGCCTCTGTGCCTTGTGGCTGTTAGGCCTACAGGCTTGGGGCCAGGCACCCAGCACCCCAGCTCACTGTCCTCCTTGGCCAGTGGGGTTTGGGCTCTCCTGCCCACCTGAGGGGCTGCCCTGACACTCAAGGTTCTGGGAGGCCTGCCTTCTCATTCTCAGCCTGGAGCCTGGGAGCCTGTACATGTTGCACCCCTGAGGTCAAGCCCTGAAGAGAGAGGGCCTGTGGTTCTCTGCAGCTGGGAGAGGAGAGGAGGGCCTGGCGGACATCCCCTAGGGCCCAGCCCAGCTGAGTGGCTGGTGGCACTGCCCGAGGCAGGAGTTTTAAGGGACCCAGGGCTGCAAGACCAGAGGGTCAGGGGTAGTCAAGGAAATGCAAAAGAGTGGGCCAGGTATGGGGGGGATAGTTCAGGATTCTTGGAATGATGACTCCCTGGTGTGGG